TTATGTTCTCAAATGTTCTCAAAAAGAGAACATAATTTTTAACTTTAATGTTCTCAAAATATATTTAATGTTCTTGAAAATATCGAGAACATCAGATATCTAATACTGCCCACCAGTCTCTTCTTATCATTCGTAGAAGGGTTTTGAACCCTTCAAATTTGAATGATTTTCCTAGAAGTATTTTGTTCAGGCGTCTGAGGTCGATTATAAGTCGCTACTTCTTTGGGCTCAGTTTCAGAGTCAGAAATATCAGACTTACTTCAAGCAAGTGTGATAGGTGGTTTGGTGAGTCTGAAATCCAGGTTATAGCCTTTAACTTCAACAACCTTCTTATTTCTGAGTTTAACCAGATCAACTGATCCTCTGTTAGTATGTATTGTGGTAGGTACGAATATAATATTAAAGCCAACAGCCCCTTGGGTATAGGGGGATGCCATTTTCTAACCAATTCAGAACTAGCTTTGGTGCTTCAATTTTTTGCCTCCAATAATTTACATGCTCCTGCCAATGTAGGTGGCCTACTACTAGTATTGATTGTTGGGTCCAAGTGTAGTCAATCACGCTTGTTATCCTTTCAGGATCCTTGATAGCAGTTTTGGTAAGAAGCATAAACTCTTGATCGATAATTTGCATTTTTTCCATGTTGGTTTGCATTTTTGTAGAGGTTTGAGAGACATATAATTGCAAAATGTCCTGAGCTTCTGCAGATATAGCACTTGTTCATTTGGTCTGTAAACCAGCTTCAAGGCTAGTAGCTTGATCAAAAAAACTGTCCTTGAATCTGTAAATGATTTTGACAGTTGCTCTGATAGTTTGTTGATAGTATGATTAGATACTGACTCTGGTGTTTGCTTCCTACATAGGGGTCATTGACAGGCTAGATTGTGGTTTTTATTTTTCTTCTTTTGCTTTTCTTTGCGTCTGCTAACAACTTTGCCTTTTCAATTACAGATTCCTTTTCTTTTAATAATTTATCTTGCGTATTTGGCAAGACAGCAGCTATGTCCCATCCAAAACCTTCAGCTACGCGTAAGGTGAATATCCTGTCTGCAGCCATTTCTCAAGCTCCTGAAATATGGTTTATGATTTTTGTTACATATTGAGATTCCATTACTAAATCTAATTCTCTTCCGATTGTACACAATGTGTTATATTCATATTGATTCTGCACTTTTTCAAACTTATAACTCGGCTAAGCTTCATTGTTTTCTACTTTTTAAATCTGTATGGCCACTAAATTTAATTTTTGATGAAAGTTAGCCATTATGTTCTTTAAGTTTCTGAACTCCATTATCATCAAATACTCCAAAGAGCTGGGATCATCATTTCTAGTATTGTTTTCCATATATCATTTGTTTGTCTTTCTTGAAAGAAGGTTCATTTGTGAGCTTGTTTCGAATATCTGAACCAGTTCGTCAGTATCTAGTAACTCTCTGATAGTTCTAATGAATGGTTGTGCCTAGTTTTTAAGGCTCGTTTTCTCAAAATTTGAGTCTGAGAGCTTTCCTCCCCAACTTCTAAATCGATTGTCTGCTGGTTTCTTATACTAACTCCATCTATATTTCTGATTTCACCATCATTCATTTTCTAATATCCATCATTTAGGAGATCCAAGATACTTGATTTTGATGTTCAGTTTGCGGAGTGTAATCTCAACCTCTGAATAAGATCTGCTTTTACACCTTTGGTTGATAAACCAAGGTTTCTACAAATATCCTCAAGATCGCTTTTCGATAAATTTGAGTCTGATATAATTTTATATGGCTTATTTATATACGTATTTTTCCTCTTTCTTTACTTTTTCTTCTTTCATCTTTTTTTTTTTTGCTATGTATTGTGCTTGGTTTATTGTTTTATTTGTTTTATTTTATTTGTTGTTTGTTTGTTCATTTGTTTTATTTGTTTCTTTGTTAATAGTCATTTGTTAATACTTGTTTGCTTCTAAACAGAGATGAAAGGCACCACAGTATGAAAGAGCCATAACAAAGTCAAGCAGCGAAAAAAAAGGGTACTGATGACCAAAATATTTCTACTAGGCACTTAAATGGCAACATTCTTCATAGTTGCACAACCGTTTTGGGATATTACAAGAAATCCTCGCAATGATAATTTTAGCATAACTATTGTCATGCTTTAGGTTATTTTCATCAGTCAGACAAATAAAAAAACTTGCATATAATTTATTTTGGCCATTTTAAAAATCTATACTTTAATGAATTTTGAAACTATTTTGATGATTAAATATGTAAAAAAAGTTTAAAATTTATTCTTTCTTTTGAATATTAAATAATAAAACTAGAAACTTGAAATTGTACTTACAGATTTAAATAATATTTATTTGAACATAAAAAGGGCAGTAGTTAATTAATTTAAATTTTATTTTTTTTCTGTATTTATAATTATTATTTTTGTATATATCTTTATTTTGTTTATCTAAAATTGCTTGATAGAAGTTTCCACCATTTATTAGGCATCATTGCGAGATCTCATAGAATTCACTTTATAAAATCGTTATGTCGCAAGCTACATTATTTTCTCATTTCATTTTTCTGATATTCAATTTCCCAACATTCCATTTATCAGGCATCATATAGTATTAGAGTTGGTATTTTTATAAGTTGTAGGTATATATTATCACTGTGTGATATCTGTAAATAGCCTGTCATAGTAATGGTTATCAGGAAATTAGATATAATATAGGTTTAAAAATTATTTAAAATATTGATTACCATTCAGCATTGCATACAATAGTACTTAAAAATTTTTCAAAAATGACGAGATATATTAAATAATACTATAAGAAGAAGAGATACTATGCAAGAGATATATTCAAGAGAGGATTAATTATATAAATTGATTGTATATATAACAGGGCCTTAATTTGAGCTATTTTAATAGTACTAGAATACTTTTCAAAAATATTTGGATCTACAATCGGATCTACAATTCAAGATCATTTTTAAGGTGTACTGTATGCAGTGCTATATAATAAGGTAGCTACGCAATACTATCATGCGAAACCAGGAACATATATTCGATAATTTATTGAATAGATGTTTTAACGATAAACAAATTTTTTTTTATTATGATGAGCGATCAAGGATCAAAATTTATGTTCATACCAGTTTACTGTATTATATGTGTTTGATTTTGTTGTTTTTAAGGGTGATTATACATATTCTATTTAGAGGGTTTAATTATACTGATATTGGCTTTGTTTTGTAATAATTGTTATTAGTTAGTTTAATTTTTAATAGTCATGTAATTAAAATTGAATAAGATATTTTAAGCATATATATTTTTTTTTTATCTTGCGGCTGAGCTTAAAATAAAGATCTTAAGTAATTAATTTTTGAATAGTATATAAGTAATCAACTTTAAGGGTGTGGCGACTTAGTGAAGTGGTGAAGTTGTCGCACCCCC